TGCCAGGGTCAAAGTTAGGGTGATTTAGTTTACTTGTGTAACTAAGGTTAGGTACAGATATTCAAAAAGCCTGAGGCAGAATCCTAAGTTATGTGGTTTTCTCTAAGCTGCGTAGTTTAGATTGGTAGCAAACAGAACACACATTCGCCCTTGGGACAGGAAGCAAATCTTTGATCAGGTTCTGCCATTTTTAAACCAGTCTGTGGCTGAATTTCTGTTTTGTTGCAGGTATAAACTGATTTCCAGTCACTTATACCAGTAAAGTGTAATGTTCATACCTGGCCTAAAGGATCATGCAGTGGTAAGTTACAGCATAACACCTCTTGCACACTCCCCTTCCCTTGTGAAACAATTACTAAAGTACATCTGTCCATACCTAAGATTGAACCTTAAATACTTACAAGTAATCTTCACAAGTAGGAATGGTCTTGTGCCAGAAAATATCAGCAAGACATCTAATAACTTAAGTTTCCACTATTTACAGAAGGATTGAGTTCCTTTACTTTTTAAATAATCAGTTTAACATTAGTCTTTATCTATGCTAGGAAATAACCTCATCACATTTTTTCAACGTCATAATTTTTATCACAAATAACATGAACAATTTGAGCCATAAGATGGCACCAGACAAATGTGTTCAGACCAGGTCTGTTAAAAATAACAGAATGGATATAAATTAAATGAATGTAAAAACATGAAGAAAAAACCTGCAAATATATATTCTGTACACTGAACAAATTTATTTGAATTCTACTGGATGAAAATATACAGTTCCAATAGAACTCAGATATTAGGTATAAGTGCAGTTACCAAACCTCTCTTCCCAAAGAACCTAAGCAGAAATAATAAAGTGCAAATTAATTTGAACATACTGTGTTCATACAAAATGTATTACATAATTGTCTGCAGCATATGAATGCAAGGTTAAAAACCTGTGCTACTTACTATGTCTTATACAAGTAGCAGAGTGAAGATAGTAAAATAGAAATGAAATACTTGTGGGGAAAATGGCTCCGTTTCAAGGAGAAAAACTGTGTATGGGAAAATGAGAGATTAAGGGGCTGTTTCTTCACTGCTATCAGCCTTCTCTATTTCTTTAACCTATACAGAGTATGGAAAGTGTATATCTCTAAAAACTGGATATGACAGGATTCAGACTTGGTAGTATTTGATAATACAAATAAACATTACACTACACTGATTTTTTTTAATAAGTAAAAGGGACAATACAATGTCCGTCATTAGCATCACTACAGATTAATCCAGAAAAATAAAGATGTATGATTGGCGAAGGAGAGGATAGAGTCCTGTCAGTCAGTGCAACTGGTGATACTTCTATGCCACAGCCCAAACTAAAACTTAAGAGACTTGAGTGTTTTAACTGAGTTTCCAGGCAAAGCTATTAGAAAAATATTTTATGGGTGTTTTACATAAAGCTTTAGTTACCAGTCCCCATTTTTGAGGATTTTCCATTTCTAAGTACTTTTTATTTTATACTCACTCACATCTCCACCAGTGATGTGAGTCTTGACAGATCCATTGGTTGACTTCTCCCACATATAAGTTTCTGGCAAAATGTATCTCTACTTGGAATGCCATCCCCAAAACCACCTGCAAGTCTACTTATTCCTCCTAATCTTTACTCCAGATCCACTTCATTCATAGCTCCTGCAACAAAGAATAAAATGAGGTCTAATTGCCTGTAGCTGAGGTATTTTCATTAATGGCTAAATATATACATACATTTTATAAATGTAAAAGTACACAATGAAGGGCTTCTCCTTCATGTGTCAGGGAATAAAAACACATTGAGATAGTTACAGAAGACATTCTTTAAGGGTAGTTTATTTCATAATGGCCTGTTTCTGGGTTTCTTGACCTTCCTATGCAATGTCTAGTGCTTGCAACTATCACGAACAGGATACTGGATGTGATGGGTCACTGTTCTGGACTGGTACGGCAGTGATACTTTCCATGTTCCTATATTCTACATACTGTATACACTGAAGGCACAAGTTAAGGGCCTCTTCATTCCTACATGACTTTTTTATGGCATCAGTGGACGGTTTTACTGTACTTAGATTTTCATGGTGGGATTAATGCATAGGTCTATAGCAGGCAAACTGAGTTAAGATAAGGCTTTTTAGCCATAGTCCAGGCCTTCCTAGAGCTAAGCAACAAAATTGAACAGGGAGATGTGGCACTAGGAGATAGGAGTGCTGTGATTGGGTACTAGAGAAGCAAGGCACAACAGTTTCCCTATAAGGAATATACCTGGCACACCAGGGGATTGGGCAATTTGGCATGATAAAAGTTATAAAAGTAATTGTGAGGGTACCGCTTATAGCTTAATGAATTATTCTAGCCCCCCTTTTCTCAGATTGCTCTGTCTGGACTACTTCCAGTATATTCCGACTCTCACCTGCCACTTCTTGATTATTTTATGATGTTATTAGTCAGGAGGTGTTACTTGTTTTCTACTGCAGTAAAACTCTGGCAATCTATATGGTGGGGGAGTATCCTCTTGGGTTATCCCTTTTATGGTAACTCTTGTACAGGATACCCAATGCTGACTGTCAAATTGAAATCACAGTTGTACTTTGTTTAGGTTAACAATTTTATTTATCAAAACTTAATTTTACATCCATAATCAACTTACTGTTTGAAAGGCTGTCATTACTTCTCTACATCAGTTAGGTCTTAATACCAACTTAAACAGAATCCAACTTGGATATAATTTTAACAGCTACAATGCCTACGTAGAATTCTTATAACACACAAAGTGTTTTATTTATTTTCCCCGTCTCTGGGCGTAGTCTCCCTTCCCAAGAACTCGCGGTATCACAGTCTTGTAAGAGACATCATCTCCCAGTCTCTCTTATCTTTCCTCTAATATACAGCCTGATTGGCTCACAACCAATGATAAACAACAAGACCCGCTGTCCCAGTATCACCATTGATAGCTGCGTTCCTCTGCTCCCTTCCTCTCTCGTTTTTAGGATTACCTTTCAAGGATTTTCTTCGCTGGTGATTCCCAGCTTAATCAGCTTCATTCGAATTCTTCTTTCCATTTTGCTGCAGTAACAGAAACAAAGTATAACTGTGGGCCCTTAACTCTTTTGAATTAAGTTCAGTTCTTAATCCCCTGTGGGCTGTTATGCACGGGTGACTGGTGCCTCCAGAGCATGGGGGAGCACCAGCAGCTGATCGCCAACTAGTGCGGGGGATACCCCAGCCGCGGATCGCTGACCCCGGAAGTTCTGGCAGCAAAACCGGAAGTACCACTGGTGCTTCTCTTAGTGTTGCTGGTGTTTCTCTCTGGTGAGGGCCCATCTCAGGGAGGGCACCCTCCCTATGCACTGACTATGCTATTATGTACCTGGATGTCGGGGGTGGGGAGCAGGGGGATTGGACGGTTAAGAAGTGTGGCCTGGCTCTGATTCGCCACAAAGGCTTGGGGTTTCAGAATCTGACAGGTGGGTAAGTGGCCATATTAATAGCCACTGCTGCCCTGCCATCGAATTTCCAGATCTGTTGGGAGCCCCATGGGCCAGATATGATGGCTCCGTGGGCTGCATCTGGTCTGTGGGCCAGAGGTTGAGCACTCCTGGCCTAAAGCACTAGGAAATAAGGATGTAACTAGAAAAGCAACTCAGTGAAGAAGACAGCAAGAAGTTATATAATTTTTCCCTTCTTTTTAACATCTTCCAGTGTCTTACACTTTCTAGACCCTAAGGTTAAGTACAGACATTAAAAAAAAACACAGGTGGAATTGATCTATTATGTAGTTTTCCTGCTGCATCTCCTGCTGCTACACCAAGCTGATGTGCTGCCTTGGTGTCTGACACCATCCCTGGGCTTAGCTGGTTACCATTGTATTTTCTGTAACCTAGTTGTGTTCCCCTCCTCACCCTCATCCCTCTAATGTTAGTCCCCTGCTCGGGCGATTTGTATTTTCCTACTGGCTTTGTCATCTTTTGGGATTCACAGTCCTAAACATCTACTAATAAAATTCATTCTGTAAGCGGTGTAGTTTAGTTCAGTAGCAAACAGAACACACATTTGTCCGGAGGGGGACACGGGAGGACGCTGACAAATCTTAGATGGGGTTCCACCATTTTTAAGTCAGTCTATATGTGCTGAATTTCTGCTGTTACCGGTATAGACTGATTTTGTGCGCCAAACTTCTGTTCTGTTACTGGTACTGACTGGTTTCCAATCACTTATACTGGTAAAAGTGTAGTGCCTATACCTGGCCAAAATGCTGAAGGCTGCAAGTGGGAAAGGAACAACTGAAAAAACCCTGGTCGTACCCAGTTCACTCTCCCTTTCAGCATCCACTCTTTGCAAGTGTGTGACACAGGGTCTTTTTCCACCTTCCTTCAACTTCCATACACAGTGCGACAGTGGCGATTCAGCACATAGACCGAGGGGGAGCAAAATATGACCTGTGGGCTGGATCTGGCCCACCAGGCACTTTCATACGGTGTTGCGCCTGTGGCTCCTCCTTGCCTCTTTTTCTCAGCCCCTTGTCTGCCTTATTGCAACCAGAGGAGACTGGGCAAGACCCACCTCTGCAAAACGCCCATACAGCTCCAAACCTGTCACACAACGGCAGCGCGCTCTCTCTCTCTGGTTTTATGATCCAGTCACCTAACTCTGGCCGTGGCACTTACACAGCCCTTGCCCCGCGGCCTCCCACCCCCAGAGGAAGGCGCCGGACGTTGTCTACGGACAAGCCCCGGCCCCGCCCCACGACACCCGGAGCCCGGGCCAGACAGGGCCAGCAGGTCAGATGCTGGGCGGGGAAGGGGAAACAGTGGCGTCACGGGCCCCGCCCCAAGCAAGGAGCCAGGCGCACGCCAACCGCCGGGGTGGAGCAGCGCATGAGCCCCAGCAGTGTAACCATAGCAACGGCGGGACTCGCTGGAGAAGTTCTGTTTCTGCCCTTTTGGCTCCGCCCTCCGTCATGTGACCCCACCCCGCCCCGCCGGCGCAGCCGTTAGCTTCCGGGAGCAGCCGGGTGGCAGGGCAGCGGCTGCAGCATGTCTGGGAACGGCCTCGGCTACAACGAGCAGGGTGGGGAGGCAACGGCAGCCGAGTTGGGCCAGGAGGCGGCGCCCACCGCAGCGCCCTCAGCCTCGGCGGCCTTCGGGCTCTTCAGCAGCGACACCAAGAAGTAAGGAGCGGCCGGGCCGGGCCGGGGAGGGTCGCTGGGCCCTGGACAGGCGCCTGCTGCATGAGCCTCGCTGCTGTCTTTGCCCAGACGGGGTGTTTGCGCGGGCGGACGCAGCCCGGGGAGCACTCGGCCTGTCTCCGCCGGCGCGCAGCCCTGCAGGAAGGCGTCAGCAGTGTCACGAGAGGCTCCTTGCCGCGCTGGTGAAGCAGAGGCTGGGCTCCTCCTTCCCCGTGAGCCTAAGGGGCACCCCTGTAGGCCCCTGCCCCTCCCCATGCAAAACGCCGGTGCAGCTCCAAACCCAGAACCCGGGAAACAGATGCTGTTGTTCGGTGGCAGCGTAGTGGTGGCTAACATGACGGGGATGGAGGTGGTTCAGCCCCAAAAGGCGTCCTTCAGCCTGTAGGACGCTCATTCCCACTGCAAGTGATAAGAATGAACAGGAGCTGTGGGTGTATTTACACTAGAAAATGGATTGCTTGTTCTTTGGTCAGTCATACAGCACAGTGCAAGTCTCTGCACCAGCCTCGGCTGGTAGGAGGCCACTTTATAATCAAGGGAGTCTGCAGTTATGCTGGCATTTCTGAAAGTTTCTGCAAGTAACGGACCTCTATTATTTGCTGTTCAAGTAGTCTTTCTGTTCCCTTGCCATCCCTTGCTCACCTTCCAGCCATGGCTCTTGGTGACCTGATCTCCTCTCTCCACATTATCACTTCTTAGAAGTTGGTATCGGGCTGCAACCTTGCTTCCCTCCCCTTCCCTTTCTTCAGTGAAGTGGTTCTCAACTTTTGTTAGACTCGAGACACCCCCTCATTAGGCTGCCAGTGTCCTTCAGAAAGTGCCAGCTCATAGTTCTCGTTCTTCTTCTGGCCATGCATTTCTATTATTGCGAAGAGCTCAGGAAAACCACAACAGAGCAGAATGGTTTTGATGTTATGAATTCCTGTTTGAAATCTCTGGGCTTATCTTGTGAATTATGTTTGCATGTCCAAAAGTGCTCACCTTGTGGCATCCTTGACAGGATCTCAAGGCACTCTAGGAAGTCATGGCATCCTGGTTCAGCATCACTGCTTTAAGTCTGATCCCTCAGAGAAGACTTTGTAACATCACATAAGGGTTTGTCTGCACATTTGAATGTTTTCACATTAAGTCCATGGGTAGACAGTCCTTGATGGTATGTGGACTCAGGAGCAGTAGAGATGACGTAGTGAAAAACCTGGCTGCGAGGGAAGTTTACAAGGCCTGGCATGGATGGGGAAGTACATGCAGCCTCAAATGGTGTTTCCCAGCCTGACTGCTGCTGAGGACAAGTATATTGAACCATTCTGTGTATATGGTGGGAGGTACTACAGGCCCTCCATGAATGTGGCTGGAAGATATGGAAATTCACCTGGCAGGCACGCATGCAGAGATGTATGTGTATTTTTAAAGTATTGTTTCATAGGTTAAGTGTAAGCTATTTTCATTCAGTGTTTGATACCTCATCCAGAATGTTGCTACCAGAAGCTGGGGGTTTTTTGGTTTTTTTGTGGTTTTTTTTCCCCCTTATTTGAGGTCTTATAGTTAGAAGAAGTCTCCAACCTTTTCTAGTCTATGGACAGCAAATTCTGAGAGAATACTTTATTTGTAGACTGTAGTAGTGATGCTTTCTGTTAATTTTCTCTGGCTGTGAGCAATCTTGTTGGGTCTCACAGGCAACACTTCTTATGAGCCACGGGTTGGGGAATCACTGGTATAGCCTTTGAGGGAAGAGTACACGGCTTCTCCATTTCTCCCAAGTGGAGTGTCTAAAAATATTTAGGAGGAGAAAATGTGGCTTTTGTTGATAAGCATGCCTCTACCAAAATTTAACTTAATTCATGCTGTTTGATCAAGCTACCAGAACCTGTTTGTTGAAACTAACTTAGAAGAGACTTCCCACTTCCTTTTTCTGATGGAAGATGTTACTCATATGCCAAACAGTGTGGTGATAACATATGTACTCTTGGTATCCATTTGTGATAGTGACCCAAAGGCGCTGAGAACTGAGCAGGAATTCCTCTCTAGAGCTTTAATGGAAGACTTCTGAAACAGTCATTGCAATCCAGATTGAGTGTGTCTGTCTTCTGTTTTTAACTGTAAATCTTTGAGCACTGAATGGTATAGGAATGAATAAAAATAACTCGACTTTTTTTAATACAGACTTCACTGGGGAGGAGAGAGTTTATTTGTCATGTGCTTTTGGGTTTTGGTCGATTTCTTCCTAGATTGATGGTTACAAATTTATATATACCAGTATGTTGGTAGGTAGATCTTGGCTATTTCTATGGCTCTTGATATTGTAGCATTTGAATTCTTCATAATCCATGGTGGGAGCTAAGCCTAATTTGTCCTCAACGCTGCTAAAAAGTAGATACTGTTGCTCCCATTTTACAGACAAGGAGTTGAGGCATAAAGAAAAATTATTTGCCTAAGATCACATGGGAATAATCTGATTGGCCATGGAATTTAAATGTGTCTTCTACTTGGTTAGTGCTTTTCTTCTGT